CCAAGGCGCCATCCCTTTGCCTGGTAGACCTAGTACTCTCACAAATGGATCCCTCACTCTAAGAGTCGTGCTTGGCCCCTCGAGGGGTAGTCCTCTCCCTCAGCACCTGGACACTGGACATTTGAGAGGAGCTCACTAAGTCACTAACATCGCTCCCATTGTTACTAGGAGTGTTGCTAGGAGCACTTAGTCAGGAAGTTTGTGAGCTTCAGGACCAAAATCTAAGACTAACATGTTGAGGATAGAAGTTCTTTACCTAAAGTTGTTCGTGGAAGGAAGTTTAAGGAATTGGTTATGGAAAGTTGAGGTGTCCTCAATAGCTCCAAAACTAAAGGTTTTGAGCAAATGGTGAAGTCTCGCTCAACTAACCTCCCTATTTAAAGGAAAATGTACAACCTAAATTCAATTGATCCAACGGTGGTTTGAGCAAATGGTGAAGTCTCGCTCAACTAACCTCCTTATTTAAAGGAAAATGTACAACCTAGATTCAATTAATCCAACGGTGGTGGATTGGCCAACTAGATAGCCCGAACCAACGGGCTCCACATGGCACCAACCCTGGGATACGAAATGACATCAAGAGGTAGGACCAGTTCACCCATCGACTCTGGCTCAATGATCCTTCACTGACGCGAAGGACGAACGGAAGAGCAGTCGCCACATAGCTACTGAAAATAGCTCCCTAGCCAAAGTCGTCACCTCCATGTGGCTCTACCATACTCTTCTTTGGTCGAAGCCAAGGCTTCCACACAACTTGCCAACCAATCTCAACCACTATGGCCTCGAGAGTGGGGGACAAGTGATGTAGGAATATCTAGCCGACCTACAGATCTTAACATGTGGTGTTGGCCGGATGCATTCTAGTCATCCATCATCAACTACTATCAACCGCTACCAACTACTCTTCTTCAAAGGCAACTTCAGCTATAAAAGAGGCTCCCACATTAAGGTAAATACACATAGAATTAAACTCTAAGTTTCCTTGCTTGGTCCGACTCCTCACAGCCTTTGGCTAACTTAATCATTAGAGTCTTCGCCCTTGAGATAACTCCCACGACCTCTAACTTCTTCTTTGTCTCAACAGATTGGACCCATCGGCCTCAAACACTAGAAAAATAATTGTTTCCCTCGGCTCCATGTTTGGTAACAACACATACATACATACACATGTATTGCTTGGTTCCATCTTAGGCTCTTAGCTCAACATATTTGATGCATTGACCGTATCCTCTTAGAATTCAAACTTTATAACAAAAAGCAAAATGTTGATAACACAAATAGAGGATCTTTTGGAGAAAAAAGGGAAAAATACAACAACTCAATTAACAATGGAGCAGAACTTCATATAGCAGTTGAAGGTAACGACTTTTAATTGGATGATTGCAAGGAATGGCCATTGCAATTTAGATCTGCTCACAACAAGCCGGTTAACAAACCATTACGCAAGGAGATGTTCATGATGATGATGTGAGGCGGTAGTGTATTGTTGGTTGCAGATCCGATCCGATTTAGACAATAACACCATGGAAAATTCATCGTTGGGCTGTAAATAGGAACAGGTGGTAAGTTCAATGGGTTAATTGATGACATCAAATTAAATAATAAAAAATACAAAAAATGAAAAAATATAAAAATATAAAAATTGGGACAAATTCATCGTATAAAACCAAAATAAGTGTATTAAATAATGTACACATAAATAATAATAATAATAATAATGTTTGACCCATGACCTGTTGACTGGGTCAAATGTAGCAATTCAACCAGTTGGATCATTGATCGAATCAACACATTTTTACAAGTAAACGTTTGGAGAGCCAAATGGACCCAAAAGCCTGGCCAAGTGGATCAACCGGTCTGGGTTGTGGATTGTGGGCATACATACCCTTTGATCGGAATCCCTAACCATCCTGCTGAGAAGTAAACGAAAGGCTCCGATCCTTGAATTTTAAGTAAGAAAAAGCCAGAGTTCCACGTAGGGTTTTCACTTTTCATACCCACCCCTGAAGAGTTAAGACAAGATCACAAGAGAGATAACCAGGATTCAGGAGAAGGGGAGAACAATATATACCCGGGTTTATCAACAACTAGAAGAACAGGTGTATATAGACCCAGTTAGCAGAATTGGGTCAGGATGTGCCGTAAAAGCCTCAACCATGGTTTTAAAAAATGATCCAGAGAAATGGAATTGTTTTAGCCACCGATTCCTAGGTTGATGGTTTGATTGTCCAATTCCAATGGATAGTTCATTCTGATAAAAAATATTAAAAAATAATTAAAAATAAAAAAATGGTCAAAACTATTAAACGGATCACGGTTTGATTGTCCAAATCAACAGGTCATTGATTGATTTAATGGTTTTTAGTCAAAGACCAGATTTAGGATAAAATAGAACTGATTGCCTAAATGATTCCTAGGCCAAACAGTCTGGTTCAAAAACCTAGCCTTAAATAGGGTGGTAAGGTGTCTATAGACACAAGGGAAGTAAAATAAATCTGCTACCCACAATTTGTTCCCACCCACGTTAGGATAGGTTGACTGCACTCCACCTCATAGGGTACAGGCGTACAGCTTTTTTCACCCATTCAATATTCTGAGTATGACTTCTGTGTATCGGGATCCACCAGTGGATGTGTCGTACCTCAAGGAGATTTGCAAATTTGGGATAAAACGAGATGGCTAAACCTGTTTGATTATTTATTAGGATGCATTTTACATTCCATATTTTGAGGATTTATTTCTTTTTCCAATTGAAAACTCAGGACCCGTTTGGTTCATGGAAATAGGGTTTGGAATTAGCTGTTGGGTGGAATCCAAATCCTATTTTTATTCTTGTTGGAATAGCATTTTCCTATATGAGGAATGATCACTTTTTATTCATTCCTGTTGATTTTAATTTTCATTCTCATTCTTGTCTGAACTAAACAGACTATTGAAATAAACCATTTTGATTCCCATTCTAATTCAATGGTAAAAATCACATTAATCCTTAAAATAAGAAATGCCATGAATCCTTAAAATAAGGAATGCCAAATGCAGCCAACAGCACCCCATATGTGCATTTCAGTATGCGTTGAGAATTAGACAGCTGGCAAACTATTTAAGTCAGACCCTTATCTTGGGTCCCTAGACTAAGACTCGTGAAACTAACAACTGCCCAAAACAAACGGTATTTCTTAGGGAAAATTCCCAATAGGTACCCTATACTTTAGGCTAAGTGCCAATTTAGTACCCGAACTTTAAAACGCGACAATCTAGTACCCAAACTTTTATTTTGCAACAATTTAGTACCTAACTTAACTCATCGTCAATTAGAAGACCAAAAGACCTAAATACCCCTCAACTATTTTGATTAATGCATGAATTTCCTATTAAAATTACAAAAAATGACCCCATCAGCTATTTCGACCAGTGCAAGTGGGAACTACTGTTCACACTTGCAGTTATTGAAATTGGGTCCAAATCCAAGCCGTCCAAATCTAAGTAGTGGGTCCCACCCTTGAGAGTTGAATTGAGTAAGATTCTTTCTTGATGGTTTGATCTGGTGTGAGCCTAGATTTGAGATTTCAGTTGGGATGATGTTAATGATTTTAATGATTATATTCAAAACTTAAGAGGTCAAGAGAGAGAGAGAGAGAAGCTAGAAAACATACAAATGGTGGAGCAACTAGTTTTAAGAGAGTTACAAATATTCTGGGAAGAAGTACGGCTTGCAAGGTTGTGGAGAACCAGAGCTTGCTGGACATAATGGACCAGTTCGCGTAAGACGAAGGAGGAGGTCCGAAAGCTTCTCATTTCTAAGCATCTCTTCTTCAAGGAGATGTGCGCCTACCACAACAGCTGTGGCGGTGGTGATCTGGGAGGCGGAGCTGGCGGTGGCCACCATCCGTCGAAGGTGGCGACGAAATCGGCAAATCAACAACAACAACAACATTGCTTCCATTTGTCTGAGGGTCCTTCTATTATTAGCAACCCAAAAGGCTTAAGCAGGGGGGAGACCAAGGGGTTAAAGACTCGCCATTGATACAACAGTTGGATAGACTCATAGTCTCAATCTCAGGTTAAAGAGACTGAGCAATGGCCGATGATACAACTGCACAGTCTCATTCTTTAACCTCCTCGTGCTTAGTTGAATAGGAGTTGTTGGTGATACAACAGTAATTGTTTTAAAGAGACGAGTAGATGAGCATGATCCTCGCAATCTCAGTCTCAGGTTAAAGACTCGCCATTGATACAGCATTTGAACAATCTACTTGGCGATGGCCGGTGACTCATAGGAGGGGGTGGACGTGAGAAAGAGGAAGACAACGAGAAGTTGGGTTCGAGGAAGAGGAAGAGGAGAGGAATGTCGTCAACGCCACCATTGATACAACAGTTGAATAGTGAGATGATGAATGTGCTTCAGGATGGATAAAATGGTATGTATATTTTTGTAAAGGTTAGTTTTGGTATTTTGAAAATATTTAACTTGCACCTAATATCACGTGATTCTTCTAACTGATGGTGAGTTAACGCCATATACTAAATTGTCACAAAATGAAAGTTCAGGTATTAGATTGTCTCATTTTAAAATTCAGGTATTAAATTGGCACTCAACCTAAAATATAGAGTACCTATTGCAAATTTTCCCTATTTCTCTTAGGGCCTGTTTGCTCTGAAGTCTAATACCTGAAAGTGCAATAATTACATTAAGAGGTATATTGGTATTGGTGATCTTTTCTTTCCTCTGAATGCAGAGAATATTGTTCTAAACTCTCAATTCGGAAAATTATCAAATATCTATTTTAACCATTTATATTAGAGTTTTTGTTTTTCATTTTAGGATATCATTGAAAAATAAAAAATTGTATGATTACACTTCAAATATCCTATTAAAAAAGAAGAGTTAAGAAAAAACAAATAAGCCATTATTCACCTTTCCTACCCACTCTCTATCCGCAGCGTGAATAAGAAATACGTGTCTTAAAAATTAGTGTTCGGCAATTAGCACTAAATGGCATTTCTATCCCCACCGGCACCGGCTTCCTTTCTTTCCTTGCGTCATGAGATAGTGACAGAGTAAGAAATCGCTGTTCAGCGACTTGATCTCGTGAATCGTAATCCTCTTCGAAAAAGTCCAGAGTCAACTCTGATCTTTATTCATTTTCAAAAAAAAAAAAAAAAACTCTGATCTTTATTGCTTCAACGCTGGTTTCAAACGCAAGCAACTCGTAGATATTCGCTTGTAAATGTCCGTATCGAAAGTGGATATTCCCCAAGAAATATGGTTAGGTGATTATAAATCTGAATGTAATTAACTGGAGCCTTCATTCTTTTCTCTGAGAATTGTTTTGACTTCTGAGAGGCGTGGAGGCTGAGATGGGTCTGCTGCGCCTAAGAGGGGCCTCCGCTGCTGCTGGAGTTGTGCTTGTTGTGGGTTTGATCCTGCACGCTGCTCTACTGTGCAATGGAGGAATTACGAGTACCTTCGTTAGGAAGGCTGAAAAAACTGTCGACATGCCACTCGACAGTGATGTCTTTCGCGTTCCTCCTGGATACAATGCGCCCCAACAGGTGTTTTCTTCTTCCGCCTCTTCTTTTTTATTCTTGAGAAATGAAATAACCCTTTTGGTCTGTTTCCGACGAACTTTATGCTTTTATTATTATATTATATTAGCACTTTTCCAAATTGATTCCCCAGTTCAAGTTGCTAGTTGCTTTTTTCCTTTTTCTTTATGTGGAATAACTTGTTTGAATCCAATTCGTTGATTTCGGTCTGGAATCCTGATTCGCGGGTGCTCTGTATTTGAAAGGTTCATATAACTCAAGGAGATCATGAGGGGAAAGGAGTTATCATTTCTTGGGTCACTCAGGATGAACCCGGCTCAAGCGCAGTGCTTTACTGGAGTGAAAATAGCAAACACAAATACCTTGCAAAAGGCGAAGTTGTGACCTACAAATTTTACAATTATACTTCAGGCTATATCCATCATTGCACCATCAAGAACTTGAAGGTTGGTGGTTCATCATCCATAGGAAGCTCTATTAATTATTCCTCTGTTTGTGGTCAGCTTAAAGAATCCAGAAGTGCAGATTAAATGCTTATAAATTAAGGAGATAATTAATTTGCCTAATTCAGTGAGGAATTGAGAAGAACTGAGTTGCTGAATATGTTGTAATGACTTAAATAATTTGTTTTGTTACCACTTTTGCAGTTTGACACCAAATACTACTACGAGATTGGGATTGGGAAAACTGTACGGCAGTTCTGGTTCAGAACTCCTCCTAAAGTTGGCCCGGATGTTCCTTACACTTTTGGTCTTATAGGTAGAACTTTGGATCTCTCTCTATCTCTCATGTTGATTTAGTTTCAGTCGTTGAATTACAACCAATTTGGGATTGGTTGTTTAGGCTCAGCTTGCAAGGAGTACAAAATGCAAGGTTTTGCACTCTACATATTTGTATTTGTACTTCTTTCAAACTGGGCCCTATGAACATTTTTCCGGTTAATTTGCCAATACTTACATGGCACCATGTAATAGAACACTCCCACTCAACTGTCTCCTCACTCTCTCTGCCGACGCATTTAATCTGTTTTCATCTTGATCTCAACATACATTGTATATCTAATGCAGGGGATCTTGGTCAGAGTTTTGATTCAAATAGGACCCTTACTCATTATGAGTCAAACCCAAGGAGAGGGCAGACGGTGTTGTTTGTTGGTGACCTTTCTTATGCGGATAACTATCCATTTCATGATAATGTCAGATGGGATACATGGGGCAGGTTTGTTGAGAGAAGTGCTGCTTATCAACCTTGGATATGGACTGCAGGGAATCATGAGCTTGATTTTGCTCCGGAAATTGTAAGTGCTCTAGATGCATCTAAATTATAGCAACATGTGTGTACTGAATAATTATTATCTATTAATGATCAATAAATAATACATCCCAAGCAAGAAAGCCACAACTATTTAGAGCCATGGCATAGAGGAGCATGTAATCAATCAGAAGAGCAAATTCATTCATCACAATAATCTTTGAGTTCTATCATGTAAATAAGGTTGTTTAAAATCCCAGTTTGTGTTTCTTGACCTTAACCATGTTGGATCAGTCAAAAGAAAATACACATTTCTCTGAACTGGAGTGTGATTAAATTAGGTTGGCCAAGGTATGCAATTTAGAGCAATTAGATCTATAAATTTTATCAGTAACTCCATATTCTGTCATTGATCAGTTGAAACAGAAGAAAGTGTTTGCAAAACCATTGGGAGTTCTAACAAGCTGAAAAGCAGCCAACCATCATATTGCTCTGCTTCAACATGCATATATTGAGTTTTTGTGAACCATTTCAATCTGTGAGGTGAACCTTTCTTTTGTAGGAATCTATCATTTAACCTTGTGTCTTGCTATGTTCTAACTAATAGAATAAGCATTACTTGACTACCAACAAATAAATTTACTTCAATGTCCTATTCACTTCGCAGAGTAAGTTAGGTTCTCTATCAGAACAGAACAATATAATTACATTTATGCACAATTTTCTTCCCCTTGGAAACTGAAAAAATAGGAATCTATAGTTATTAATGAGCACAAATATTATGATCCTTGTACCAATATTTCTGTTATTTATGTAAGAGCTAATTTGCAGTTTAGACCAATTCCTGCTGTAGTATAACTTACTTTTATGCGACTTGAACAGTAAATTTAAATTAAACATGTGATTGTGACTTTGTTGCAGGGTGAAACAGTACCTTTTAAACCTTATATACACCGTTATCATGTGCCTTATAGAGCATCACAAAGTACTGCTCCATTTTGGTACTCAATTAAGCGTGCTTCAGCATACATAATTGTCCTGGCTTCATATTCTGCATATGGTAAGGATAAATTTAATTACTATAAATAATGTGCTAAAGTCAGATATGCAACTGACTATATGTTATTGCATGTAGCTTCGCCAGTGTCTTTCTAAGTAATATTCTGAATTAGAAGTCACAGAAAAGGGCTAATTGACTTAGGTTGGTTGTATATGTTATGGAGATATTTCCTGACAAGAGCTTGTTTTCTACTTTCAGGCAAATACACTCCTCAATACAAATGGCTTGAACAGGAGCTTCCCAAAGTAAATAGAAGTGAGACACCATGGCTAATTGTTCTTATGCATTCACCATGGTATAACAGCTATAACTATCACTATATGGAAGGAGAAACCATGAGAGTTATGTATGAGCCATGGTTTGTAAAATACAAAGTTGACGTTGTATTTGCTGGTCATGTCCATGCTTATGAACGATCTGTAAGTGTTCTCTCTCTCTCTCTCTGCAATTTTGGTGATTGAAATCTTGATATTCAAGATCGCTAGTCTCTGTGCACTTTTAGTTTTATGGCCATTATGGTTTCTTGTTAATGAGCTTCTCTTTAGTAAACTGCATTTGCTTCATAAAATGGATGTAAAATTTTTCAGACTTGAAATGTTTCAGCTATTATTTCCATCCCTATGAAACAAAATTTTCATTTTAAAATGGGTTAAAAATAGAGCTCAAATATTTCAACCTGAAAGATTTTCTCTCCATTTTATGCTGAAAGAAACACAGCCCGTTTAATCAATGTGAATTAGGGTCTGTTTGGTTATGGGAATAGGGATCTAGAATTGGAATCGGAATGGCCCATTCCAATTCCAACTGTTTGGTTGGGTGTAATCAGATCCCATTCCCTCCCCTTCCCTTGGGAATGAGATTCCATTTCAGCTTATTCCAATTCCGATTCTGATTCGCATTTGAACCAAACAGGCTATCAAAGATCATTCCGATTCCGATTCCGATTGCAAACCAAACGACCCTTAGGCCATGTTTGGGAGTGCTTAAAAATAAGTGTTTATTTGAAATAAGTGCTTATTTGGGCTGGGGCCACACCATTAAGCACTTATTGGTGTTTGGGAAATATGCCCGAAATAAGTGCTTATTTTAAAAATATGGGCTTATTTTTTAAGCCCAAATTTCCAGCTTTTTTAAGTGCTTATACAATAAGGACTTATTCAATTTTTTTCTTCCAAATTTATCCCTAGTTGAATTTTAAAATAACACTTGTAAAACTATCCCTAGTTGAATTTTATAAAAGTCCTTTTGTAAAAGTACTTTTATAAAAATTACTTTTGTAAAAGTGCTTTTATAAAAGTATTTTTGTAAAAGTGCTTTTATAAAAGTATTTTTGTAAAAGTGCTTTTATTAGAGTGCTTTCATAAAAGTACTTTCATAAAAGTACTTTCATATAAGTGCTTTTATAAAAGTACTTTTGTAAAATACTTTTATAAAGGTGCTTTCATAAACGTGTTTCTATAGAAGTGCTTTCATAAAATTTGAAAGAAAATGAAGGACAAAATAGTTAAAAATGCTTATTTAAGTGCTTATTGGAGAAAAAAGACTACCAAATGCCCAATTTGGGTGCCAAATGCAAATAAGTGCTTCTTCTAATTATAACATAAGCACTCCCAGACATGGCCTTAGTGTGGGTTTTGAGAAAATGCCAGGGTGACAAGCATGGGAATGTGGGTTTTGAGAAAATGTTAAACACAACATCCACATTTAGGCTATGTTTGGTTTGAAGGAAAATGTGGGGAAAGGAAGGGAAATGTAGGGAAACCTATATATGGTTTGTAAAGGTTTCCCTTCCTTTCCCTACTTTTCCCTTCAAACCAAACACAACCTTAGTGTTCCCCCCTGAAGAACCTGGATAGCCAGCATAATTGTTGGGTAACGACCCTTTTAATTAGTGTACCCATTTCAACGAGATAAATTTGTAGTTAAGCAAGGCTTCTTCCATGCGAACAGAGTAATTGGTTTGCAATATTTACTTTTGCTCAGTGGTCGGAATCTAATGAATATATGAAGCCTGGTTTACAAGCTGTAAACTTTAGTTGTGTAACTTGAAGCCAGACCCTTTTAAATGTTGTGGGTTACGTTGTTGCAATTTCTTCATTCCTGTTAAAAATTACATCAGAAACTTGGGACCTCTGTTGCTTGGTTTGTGCATTGAATATCTCTTGCTACAAGTTTTTCTTGTAAGGAATGGAGGAGAATATTTTTGATCACTCTTACCATAGCTTAACACAGAAAAAACATCCATCCTACAGGAACGTGTGTCAAACATTGCATACAACATTGTAAATGGCAAGTGCATTCCTGCGAAAGATCAATCTGCACCTGTATACATAACCATAGGAGATGGAGGGAATTTAGAAGGACTGGCAACCAAGTAAGATTAGTTTTCCTACATCTAATTTTACTTGTGGTATTTTAGTTTGCCTCTTAATTGTAATTGACAGGGCTTCATCTCTCTCTCTCTCTCTCTCTGCTTCTGTATGCTTTTATTCTGCAGCATGACAGAACCACAGCCAAAGTATTCAGCATACCGTGAAGCTAGTTTTGGTCATGCCATCTTTGACATTAAGAACCGGACCCATGCTTACTATAGTTGGCATCGTAATCAAGATGGTTATGCTGTTGAAGCTGATTCTATGTGGTTTTTCAACAGATTCTGGAACCCTGAGGATGAAACGAAAGCCGCATCATAACGATGCTATCTTTTTTTCTTTTGTTGAAACCTCTAATAAACACTTAACACCAATGTTTGAATGTCATCCCCCTCTTTGTATTTCACTGTTTTGGTCTTCTTTACAGCATATAATGTTTATTCATGGCTTTGCTCTAATAGTACAATCCTTTGGTTTCTTGCCTCGGAATAAGCTGAGTGATTACTAGGATGTGTTACTTCAATTCTCAATGGATCTTACCAAAAAATTCTAAATGGATTCGGCGAGCAGAGAGCGGACTATTCTTCCTTGCAACCCACCATTAGACATGGACAAACTAGTTCTTTGTTAAAATCCAAAACATCACATGATCTGCTGTTTTGAGTTCACGTCTGCTGTAAGTGCTTATAATTTAACAATGGATATGGCAGAACAGGATTCAAATGGCCAGCTTGGTGCAAGGCGTAGATGATGATGATGATCTTTAAGGGGACCTAACCTGTTCATATAAATGGTGGGATCCCCTAAAACTTTAGACCCTTCCTCAGTTACTTAGGCCAAGTTTGAAAATTTGAAATTAACTGCCAACTGTGAATGAAACTAATACATATGGCTATGGTGCGAATAACAGGGTAACTTTCCCTACTTAAAATAATGGCTAAGACGACCAAAAGCTACCATTAAAGGGAAACTTGTTCTCTTAGCTAGTTAGCTAGTACCGACAAGGACGATAATAATATCATTCAGCTCCTCTGTCCTTTAGGCCATAGTCATGGCGGAGCTGCTCTCCTCATGCGGATACCAAAACCTGTTGTATAGCCATTGAGAATCCCCAGAAACTGCTTCACCATCTTGATTGCGGTGCCAGGAGTAGTAGGCGTGGGTCCGATTCTTTATCTCCAAGGTCGCATGTCCAAAGCTGGCTTCTCGAAATACTGAGTAACTGGGTTGTGGCTCTGTAAATCTGCAAACGTAACAAATTATAGTCTTAGCAGATGAAACCCGGCCGGCCAAATCCTTGCATAAACCTTAGTTATGGGTTTGAAACAGAAAGATGGAATCTTACCGAGAAGCGATGCCTTCGATGTTTCCTCCATCTCCGATGGTAACATAGACGGGGGCAGAAGGGTCTCTAACTGGAGTGCATTCCCTATTTGTTATGTTGTATGCTATATTTGATATTCGTGCCTGCAACACAGAATAAACATTACTTACAACTATGGAAATGGAACACAAGAATTGAGATCAATAGATAGAAGAAGCCGATGAATTGGTATTGGTATGAAGAAGACTTACAGTTCGTTCATAAGCATGAACATGGGCAGCAAATACAATATCAACTTTATTATGAACGAACCACGATTCAAACATCACCCTCATGCTCTCTCCTTCCATTTAATGGTAGGAATCACTGTTGTACCATGGAGAGTGAAGAAGAACAATCAACCATGGTGTCTCAGATCTATTCACCTTGGTAAACTCTTGTTGCAGCCAATTATATTGTGGGGTGTAAGTTCCATATGCAGAGTAAGATGAGAGGACAATGATATGAGCTGACGCCCGCTTGATTGAATACCACAGTGGAGATGTACTCTCCGATGCTTTGTAGGGAACATGGTACCGATACATGTATGGCTTGAAAGGAACGGATTCGCCCTATAGTATAAAAAATAAAACCATCAAGTACAATCCTAATTAGTAATTACTATTTACTAATATCTGAAATTGCAAGTCTTACGATCTCGGGAGCAAAGTCGATTTCATGATTGCCAGCTGTCCAAATCCATGGTTGATATGCGATGCTTTTCTCTACAAACCGGGCCCACGAATCCCATCTCCTGTTGTCATGGAGTGGTTAATCATCCGCATAAGAAAGATCACCGACGAAGAGTACAGCTTGCGCTTTTGGATTGGAGAGGTAATGCTCTAGCGTCTGATTGGAATCGTAGGTTTGGCCCAAGTCACCTGCATAACAGCCCAACAACAGTCTTTCTCTGCTCGCTTGGACGCTTACCTAACCTAAGGCCTACGGGCTACGGGTGCAATTTGGGCGGGCCCAACTCTGAATTCTTCCGGCCCATAATTTTACATGGACTGAGTTGTTATTTTCTTGGATCCAAAACTTTGGGTTTTTTTATTTTTAGGGTTGCTCCTGGGCAGCTAAGCCCATCCATCCCTAAAGTAGCCCGGATTCGGCCCGATTGTATATGCATAAATACATATCTTCATGTGTATGCGTATATATTTGCAAATACACACATCTACATCAATTTTCAGTTTAGGCTCTGGGTTCAGACTTCAGATGGGACGATCTGGGTTGGCCTTAGGAAGAAATCGAGAGCCTTAGGCCCGATTATTAGGGTTGGGCCTAGGCTGACCATAAACCCGGCCCAGCCTGCACCCTTGTTGCTTCTCAAAAATAAAAGGCAAAATACAAAAACCTCCCCTGAATATTCTGACAATCATAAAAAATTTTTTTATAGTTTCGTTTTAATAAATACTTCCCTTAAACTTTTGAGAAACTCAACAAAAATCTCCATTCCGTTACTTTTTCGGACAAAAAACTTTAGATTGATCCACCAATCTTTTATAAATACCCATTATACCCTTTTATGAATGATTTTACATAAAAAAATTGCTAAAATAACCCGTTTTAATTCGACAAAACCTCCTTTCGATACACTGCCCCATGCATTTGCACTTCCAGTCTTTTATTTCTCTCCATTCACAACAGGAAGACTTGATAATCTGGGTTCTCCTCTAGGTTTGGGATTTTATGCATTATCTGTTTATGGATGGATTGAATTGAGAGGAATGACAACGATATGATTCTCTCTCTCACAGACACAACAAAGAGTCTCGCTTCATCGCTCTCTCCTATAATAGTGAGGAAGGAAAAAAAAAATTCTAGGAAAAAAATCCCAATTTTCTAGTCTTTTTCCATATCTCCGTTCCCTAACTACCAGCCTAGTATGAAAACAACCAACAGCCGACCTTGTTCTACCCAGGTTATAAAATCGTAGATCGCATTGTTGTATTATGTGTTTTATATTTAACAGAAAGCCCCGACAATCACTTTACTGCAAACTTCAAACTAAGTTGAGATTTCTTAAATTTAGAAGTTTGAACTTTGAAGTTTCTCTCATCTCACAGTGGGTTGTCAAATAGGTGTCATTTACATTATGACAATTAGTCGGGGGCAGTTTCGTAGCACCAACGGTTTTCTGTATGGGAAAGTGACGGAAGAGAGGATTTTGTTGATTTTTTTAAAAGTTTAAAGGAGGTTTTTATTGAATTGAAACTATAGTGAAGGTTTTTATGATTGTTAGAAATTTCAGGGAGATTTTTGTGTTTTACCCAAAAATGGGATTTTATAGTTCAGTTCACCCCTAAAAATCTAGAGCTCCACTCTAAAGGTGGATGGAATCCTAACCAACTGTGAATTGATGCCAAATTCATGGGCAAGATGAGGTTTATAGGGGGAGACTACTAATAGACTAGGAGGGGGCCGTAAATCAAATTTCTGAGAGGTTTTTGTTGAAGTGACGGAAGAGAGGTTTTTGTTGATTTTTTTTAAAAGTTTAAACGAGATTTTTATTAAAGTAAAACTATAGCAGAGGTTGTTATGATTGTCAAAAACTTTAGGGAAGATTTTTGTATTTTACTCAAAAAAAATTAACTTTAATGATACCAACCTATAACGCCAAAGGTGCAGGGAACATCGAGTCCCACTTTGGGAGGAGTTGTGAAAGAAAACTGACGGGCAGATTTTCCAGATCCGATCTCATAAAAGTAATGAGTGTCATACTGTACAATTGCAAAAGGAAACGCCATAAGATACTTTGTACAGTCAATATGTAAAGAGAGATAAAAGGAGAGAGAGAGGGAAACCTGTAGGTTCTTAATGGTGGCATGATGAATGAAGCCAGATGTATAATTGTAATATCTGTAAAATGTAATCATGGCATGGGCCTTATGTTTGTGGTTTGAGTGGTGAGCTTCCCAATACGTTAGATACTTGGGCCCTGGCTTTTCTGGAGTCACCCATGAAACAATCACGCTACTTCCAATGTGATCTCCCGAGTTATGTGAACCTGGTATTTTACAAATATTAAACAAAGAGAAACAAAACTTTGTTAATAATTTCCAATAGCACCCGACCAGTAGTAGTAGTAGAGATCTTCATTAGAGTTAATTCTCAGAAATTGCAGACCTAATAGAACTTGTCTGTATGAGAGAGAGAGAGGTGACGCCGGTCTTCTTACCTGTTCAGGCGCATTATAGCCGGGCGGGGAAGGAAAAGCATCGAGAGGCATATCGACGGAAGCTTCGGGCTTTCTAACGTAGGAACTAGTGATGCCTCCGTGGGACAAGACGGCAGTGTTGAGTAGCAGAGCCAAAACTAGGCCCAAATACCTCGATTCCATCCCTCCCTTCAATTGAGTGTTTCCACGGTGCCAGAAAATCGAACTCCAGAGATACTACTGGTGAGTGGTGAAAATGAAGAAGAGAGATCAAACGCAATTTATAACGACTTGCGAGTTGAGAGTCCTATTAGGATTTGGAGTCTAAGATCTCCATACACGTGCACGAATTTGTTGGGTATATTTAGTTATTAACAAACTTACACACATATCTAGAATTCTAAGGCCCCATCGGCATTTGGATAAGTTACTTATCCCATAAATGCATTTGTTCAGGTAATTGTTACACAGTAAAGATTTAAGTGCATTTATCTATGTTTTTTTATTTTCCATGTAAATAATGCAATGATCATTTTATCGATAAAAATCCATTATTATAAGAGGTATTTTTGTCCCTTTCAAGTGTTGGCAAAAAAATAAACTCTCTGATCCCTACATAAATCTAAAAAAAGAACATGAAATTTTTGGTCAATAGGAATCAAAACCCCATTGATTAACTTCCCCCCTCTCAAATTCTAGAAAAAAAAAAACACCCCCTAAACCTCCAAATCCTAATAAGACTCAAAAAAAGAACAAAAAAAAAGTTTAGTGGATAAATTACTAATTATCTACCCAGGGGAAAATTACTTAATACAAAATGCGTGTGCACTTGTTCCATGACCCGATGACCCGTCAAGTTGAATTGATGGTCTATTTGACCCGAATAATGAGTCATGGCTTAGTGAATAATACTCTTTTTTATCTTTAGCCATGTTTATCATTAATATTAATAATTCTCACTTATTGCATTTATTTTGATTTGAT